TTGTCGGTCTCAAACACAATCCTAAGTTCGGCTCGGTTCAGTAGACCTCATGACACTAGATTCCTATGTAGGGAAGGAACATATAGCGTATTACTTAATGATAAAGTTTTGCCAGATGTGAGTCTCAAAAGAACCTTCCCTTTCCCAAATACTCCAGTTGTGGTAGAGTTTCCCATGAAAACACATTCACCATCGGCAGTTCTGAAAGTCATGGAAGAGGTCACGGTTCGAGCATAAATGTCTGGATGCTTCTATGTCAAGAATCCAGTCGAATTTGTTCTTTACTAGATTTACTTCTACAACCACAGCGGCAATGATGTCATCCGTCTCTATAAGGTTGGCTTGTGGAGTAGCCCTTTGATCTTTCCTATCTTTCCTCTGAGTGCACTGATAGGATTTGTGTCCGGGTTTTCCACAGACATAGCAAACCAGTTTGGATTTCTCGATTCTTCCACCAGTATTTTTAGGTTGAAGACCTTTGTTCTTTTGAGCTCTATCCCTTGCAATTTGTTTCCCTTTATTCTTGAACCCGTGTTTAGAAGCACTAGAAGATTTAACCAAGTCATCTTTAACCGAATTTAGGGATTGAGAAGAGATCTTATCCTTCAGCTTGTTAGCTTCCTCCGTGCGCTTGTGACTGATCAGTTCTTGTAGAGTCAGGTCCTTCTTCTTATGTTTCAGGTGATTGCGATAATCAATCCAGAAAGGAGTGCATTTCTAGAGCAACGCATTAGCCTGAAGAATCTCGTACATCTTCATGCCTTCAGACAGCATACTTGCCATCAGGTTCTCGTACTCATGAACCTGATCCACTACCGGTTTGTCGTCCAACATTTGAAATTGAAGCCATTTACCGACGACGTACTTCCTTCTGCCTGCATCGTCCCCACCATATCTAGACTCTAACGTGTCCCAAATGACATTTGCAGATTTTTAGACTACAAAGAGATCAAAGAAAGAGTCGTTCATATGGTTGAGAAGATGCCCACGAACCGTTTTGTTGTCTTTCTCGAATTTGTCAGCTTCGATGGCAGTAGACATCTCGGGATTAGCAGCAGCAGCTAAAACGGTGGCAACGATAATGACAGACAGATCAGTGACGGTTGCGGTGACAGTAGCGGCAGTTGCAGCAGCAGTGGCGGTAGTGGTGGCAGCGATAGTAACGACGGCGGGTTGAGCAGCAGTGAGAATGTAGTCGATCTTCAACTGCTCAAAGAAGATCAATAACTTCTGTGACCATTAACGGTGGTTGGATCAGTCGAGTGGTTCCAATTTTGACAAGTCTGGCAGGACCTTCTTAGATCGGATAACAGCCATGGGTAGATTGGTTAGTTTTGCTTTCAACTGTAGGAAAATAAATGACAAAATTGGTGCTGGGAGGAAAAATTGTTGTGTCGTGGGAGGACCACTGCCTTGAAACAAAATCGGCACGACCTCGATGTTAAATCGTTTTACTGCTGATATACTCCCCAAGGTTAATACAACCTCCAATTTAAACGTGCACTCGTCGGAATGGAGTGAAATCAATCTCGTGCTCAGTTAAAATAGTGGAAAAAGGTGGGGAAAGTGAAGGAATAGAGTAGAGAACATGAGAGAATTGAGATGAATGGGATAAAATGAAATGGCAGGGGAATGAGATTTTTATAGTGACAGAGTGGTCTAAAATAAGAATTGATTTTTTTTTTAAAATAAAAATTTAAAACAATTTTGACCACCCATGTGTCCTTTGACTAGCCCTTTATTCTCTACACTTGCCACGTTGCTTGACTTTCAAAGTGTATAAAAAAGAAAGCTAGGTTCAAGCCGGTCGGACGACGGCAGTGGCGCGTGTGTGGGCATTGGTCTTGGCTTACCTCACACAAAATTTATAAGCCCAATACACAGTCAATGCTTATAAACCAACTTTCCAAATGTTATTCTTCCGATATAGGACAACAACAGATTTTAATATTTGTCATTCCCAACAATTTCTACCACCCTTATGCTACATTTAATTTCTCCATTTTATAGCCATTATTCCCCTCCAAATAACCTTAACGAGCTCATAAGTAAAAGCTTAACTCAAACTTTTATGGAAGTCTAAAATCTACCATCTCCAAGAAACTTCTTGAACGTAAAATAGAACAATCCATGAACCCTTATTCACTTTCTATTCTTCTAAAATCATCTAAGAAAACAAGTTTAGTTACCAAGTTTTGCTCATTTCAATAGTTGAAATATTCAGTTTTACCTTCAAATACAGGATTCCCGACCTCTAATCCTCAAAAAGTTTTGTCAAAACCCTGTTCTCCCTCTCCTATGCTCTTTCCCTTCCTCTTCGTTGTTTTCCCCTCTTCTTTTCTTTTCTTTTTCTTTTTCTTTCTTTTGCTAAACTCTTCTTCTCCTCATCCCTAATTAGCCACATGTCCACCCAAAACCACAAGCCTTTCACAAAAATTCTCAATTCTTTCCTTTAGTTTTTTTTAGACCCAAGAAGACCATAATGCTCTTATAACTTTACCTTTTTTTTTTTAAAAGAAATCAAATGACAATGGGTCCTTACAATAACATGCAAAAAAATTAGTCATTTTAAGAGAACATTTTCGAGTATGCTGAAACATCTGACGAAGATAATCTTCTTCCGCCTGAGACTGTACTCCAAAGAGTTATTGTATGGAAACTCATAAATCGCGAGCGTTTTCATACCCCATCACCTGTGTTGCAACTTCTGGAGTTATAGAGTTGTACATCCATCCAAGAAGTAGCTGGTTGGTAGTTACCCAGGACTCATATAATGGATTGACGACTGTTTCCATTGCTATGGACGAACTCGATGGTGCAGATGTGTTCGTTTGGCTTGTTTCCATACTACCAATCGACTTTTGCACAAACATGGGTGGACATGGGTGTTCACCAGAGAGGTGTCTCTCTAGTTTGTAACTTCGTAATATGGGTAAGGCTAGGTTTTTCTACAACAAGTAATTGGTTTTTATCTAGTTTTATTGTGGTGATTTGGTTAAGCAATTGATTGGGTGATGAGCTGCTAAATGTGGGGTGGGTAGAGGTATTGGAGGAGGCGTTGGCCATTACAACTCTGATACTAAGAGAGAATTTCATAAGAGAATATTTCACATTCAAAGTAAAATATTTGTATTTGATTTCACTATTTTATGATGGCACTCAAACACCTTATTTATATACAAAATGTACCCTAATTTTCGAAGAAAAAGAATCTAAAATTAACAAAATATTGTCACAAAATGTACAACAATTTTAAGGAACTACTTCTTGGTTTGAATATGACTTGGTGCGTGGCTTCAACTTTCTTTGCTTCTAACAAAATATCACCAAAATACAAACCATAAAAGGATGTAAGAAAGAAAAAAAAAAGATCATGGACGAGCATGATCATAACACATGGTGTGTGTAGAGCACGTGCACAAAGGGGCAAGGGGCAAGTGACAATATCATAATTTCTATTTCTTTATATACATATGTAGTTGTTTCCATATTTTTCCATTAAATCTCCACCATGGATTTCAATTTTCTAGATCCAATGACAAATTTTGAATCCAATTTTAAAATCATTTTCAAACCACATTTTCTCTCTATATAAGAACAACTCTTTTCTCCCAATCAAGAATTGCTTTTAAGAATTTTCTCTCGAGATTTTTTTAGCATGTAATTTTTATTTCTCTGAATCATTTAAGTATTTTAATTTGTATTCCTTGTTCGATAGAGTCGGTAAGCTTGCTATTAAATTTCATATTTATGGTAATAATTGCTTTTGAGGGTAAAAAAAAGCATGGTAATGGTTTGGATCTTATATGTGTAAAAGATCGAGTTTCTTATTGCTCTTGCAAAAAGAAGATGTTCTAACGATTCGATATGATTGATTTGTTCTAACCCCTAAAAAAATAACATTATAACGATTGGACTCTAAGCTGTGGAAAGAGTCAAAGTTGTTAGTCAAATACTCAAGAGACATTCGGAGAATGTGCTAGGTAAAGTTTTACTAAACCACTGTAAATTATCAATGTCATTTTCTTTGATCCTCTCTTTTTTAATTTTAAAGTCCATTATCATTAAATGCATGAAATTAATTGTTTGAATTAATTGTTCGTATTTAATTGCCACTCTTTGACTTTATTACTTGATGATTATTTTTGGTGGGTAGAGTTAAATTCTATATTTATTGCCTATCCCTAGATTTTTTTTTCTTTTTGAAACAATGTCTATCCCTAGATTAGAATTAATTAGGGTGCTTACTTTTTTAATTTATTGCTTAATTTGAGATAACGTTCGTAAAAAGTGTTGATTAATCGAACCCACTGAAAAATTTATAATTTTAATTCAATAAGTACTTCTGCATTGAAGTCTTTTTCCTCACTGATCATAGAAACTTGTCGTATTTTAGACTGGCTATGAAGGTAGTGCGAGATATCCCACGATATGTCATTTGATACGTAGCTTCTCGCTATTGAACTTGGCAACGTAGTCTTGGAGTCTCTCATTAGTCCCTTACTTGATGGTCAGAAGGTGCGTAACGTGCCTTTGTCAGTCTCGACCTCAAAGAAACTGAATTATGAAGGTTTAAATTAGCTTCTTAAAGAAAGATATGAATCTTCTCTTCCATTGTCAGAACTAGAGCTGATCTTATCAGTGTAAAAGTGAATACTAGACATCTGATGGTGTCATTTATATATCCATCCACTCTTGATATGCATCTAAGTGATCGATTGAGTCTTTCAAGCATAGTCAATCTCTCGTTCATTCTTTCTACCTTCTCCGTTGAGGCAACAAAATTTTCCTTCACCTTGCCTCACTAGCTACACATAAAATAAATTTTTTTTTTCAGAATACGTTTTAAAAATAATAAATTTAAAAGAAAATTAAAAAAATCTCAAGTTGTGGTTATGGTCATGACTATATTATGTGAATAATGGATTAATTTGCACCTTTGAAATATCAAACATGTTCTAAAAAATGCAAAAAAGAAAAAAAGAAAAGTAGAAAACCATTAGACCCACTGTTTTCCAAATCAGGCCAAAGCATTTCTGTTTTCTGAGAGATAAACCCTTAAGCCTCTGCTCTCTGCCCTCTGCGCTTCTAATTTCTAAATATCCACTTAATTACAATCTCCCTCTCTCTCCTCGCTGTTTCTGTCCCTTTCCTCGTCTTCAAATGCCTTCCTGATCTGCGCTTTAATCTCACAATTTAGGTCACTCACACCCCAATTCCTGTTTAACCCATCAATTTTCTTCGATTCCTCACTCCTGCATCTCATTTGATCTTAATCCGAGTTGTGGGATTTTGCAGGTTTCGGCCATGGAAGCGGAGAGCAATTTCTTCAATGTGGGTCTACTCGTAGTGGCCACTTTGGTCCTCGCCAAGCTCATCTCTGCACTTGTAAATTCCAGATCTGGAAAACGAGTTCCTCCCACTGTCAACGGGCTGCCCTTGGTTGGGGGATTGCTCCGTTTTCTCAAGGGTCCGATTGTGATGCTGAGGGAGGAGTACCCCAAGCAAGGGAGTGTCTTCACCTTGAACTTATTGCACAAGAAGATCACCTTCTTGATTGGCCCTGAGGTTTCTGCTCATTTCTTCAAGGCGTCCGAGTCTGATCTCAGCCAGCAGGAAGTTTACCAGTTTAATGTCCCAACTTTCGGGCCCGGCGTCGTGTTCGATGTCGATTACTCCATCCGCCAGGAGCAGTTCAGGTTCTTCACGGAGGCTCTCAGAGTCACAAAGTTGAAGGGCTATGTGGATCAGATGGTCAAAGAAGCTGAGGTCAGCTTTCACCACCCTGCATCTTGAAACATCTCAATTGAATTTGGATAAGAAATGATATTAATGGATATAAGGATTCTGTTTGAACTCTGTCTTGCTGACTTTTACGTATCTGCATACTTTTTGGAAACACCCATCCCTCTCTCTCTTTATTTTCCTATCTGACATCACTGATCCATGAAAATCTGGGGGTGGTTAGAAATGAATTCTAAAGAAGTAGAATGTAGCCCAGGATTCTTTTCAAATGAGAATGTATGTTAAATGTAGTTTTGAACTTTTAACAACACTCTTAGAGTTGGGTGCAGCTAGTTGGTGGCACAGTCTCGTGGTCATATTGGTTTTGAGGTGTCAAGTTTGAACCTTCCGGTGGGCTCTTCATAGCTCCTAGGTCTAGGCCTTGGGGTAGGCGCGAGGGCTCTTGGATATAGGGAAGTAAAGCTTCTACTCCCAATTACATAACAACACCATTAGAGCTGTTTCTTCTCAATGTATTGTCTGAAGTCTTGCATTTATCTCTTAAAATGCCTAGTTTCTGATGCTTGTGTCCAAATCTTCTATTTCCATTCTCTTGTTTTGCTATATGGTATAAAATAAAATGTATGAGTAATTTTGGAATGTGGTGGGGGTATTGAGCAGGACTACTTCTCCAAGTGGGGGGACAGTGGGGAGGTGGACCTTAAGGATGAGTTGGAGCGTCTCATCATCTTAACAGCTAGTAGATGCCTGTTGGGTAGAGAGGTCCGTGATAAGCTTTTCACGGACGTTTCTGCATTGTTTCATGACCTCGACAATGGGATGCTCCCAATCAGTGTCATCTTCCCCTACCTGCCTATCCCAGCTCATCGACGCCGTGACCAAGCCCGCAAAAAGCTTGCAGATATCTTCGCGAAAATTATAGCTTCTCGGAAATGCAGTGGAACATCAGAGAATGACATGTTGCAATGTTTTATTGACTCAAAGTACAAAGATGGTCGATCGACGACAGATTCTGAGGTCACTGGTTTGCTCATAGCTGCTCTTTTTGCAGGTCAACACACTAGTTCCATCACCTCTACTTGGACTGGGGCTTATCTCCTACGCCACAAAGAGTACATGTCTGCTGTTTTAGAGGAGCAGCAAAAGCTGATGGAAAAGCATGGTGATAAGATTGATCACGATATCTTGTCTGAAATGGACAACCTCTATAAGTGCATTAAAGAAGCTCTCAGACTCCACCCTCCACTGATTATGTTGATGCGCAGTTCACATACTGATTTCAGTGTGACAACCAGAGAGGGGAAGGAATACGATATTCCAAAGGGCCATATAATTGCGACATCGCCCGCTTTTGCTAACCGACTTTCTCATGTCTACAAGGACCCAGACAGGTATGATCCAGACAGGTTTGGCCCTGGGAGAGATGAAGATAAGGTGGCAGGAGCGTTCTCATACATCTCATTCGGAGGTGGCAGGCACGGGTGCCTTGGTGAACCCTTCGCTTACCTACAGATAAAGGCAATATGGAGTCAATTGCTAAGAAATTTCGAACTGGAGCTAATATCTCCTTTCCCTGAAATTGATTGGAATGCAATGGTTGTGGGTGTCAAAGGCAAAGTTATGGTCCGATACAAGAGGAGGAAGCTTTCTGTTAGTTAATTGGAAGAACATTCAAGTGTTTGTAAGTCTTAACCAGTATAATTATTAGCTGCATCAACTTCATTTATTTACTTCAACCATTTGTGCTTCCAGGAGGTTTCTATTGTCGAGTTTTACCTCAGTTCCCATTCAGTGTTTAATCTAATTAATGTTAGTTTGTAATATCATTAGTTTTGTTTCTGTTGGAACCCTTTGAAATGGGTATTTCTATATTTTCTAAGTTTATCAGACCTCTACTTTTCTCCAGGTGTTTTGCATGTTGTTCGGCTGAGGAGACATAATTCAGCCAAATCCCACTTTTTGGGCCTCAATAGCCCTGTGTCAATAAAGTTCAACTTTCCTCGCCATTCAGAATCAGTTTAATGGAGAGAACAAAATCATCGTATGTCTATGTATCTGGTTCTTTTATTCTTCTTTTTGACAATAAAGGGAGAAAAAAGTAGTGATTGAAAATTGAAAATTATGATAATACAATACATATGTGATTCCTCTATACATTCCTAGGGGGCAATGAGATAAAATACCATTAAGCAAAGAATCTCACAGCTTCTCAAATCCCTGTAAAATGTAAGGAGCCCTGTAAATGATAAGGCTGTAAAAGCCTCTGCCAATCAAATAGTGATACCATAAGCATATACAATAGGATAAAAAAGAAACCTCCATGTTCACTGAGCAGCATTTGTGACACAGCAACCTTAAACTGATGTGTTTGGTATGATTTTCAGAAGCTCAATGTCAAACAAAAGAGTCTTGTCTATCAATCCTTGGTTCCTCAGCACGAAGTCCAATGCTCGTTGCCCCTGAAAGTGTTTGCTATCAAAAAAACCTCCCTATCTATTCATACAAATGTAAACTGGCTGACTAAAGAAAAATGAAACATTACAGAGAAGGTCGTCGGTCTTGGACCCCTTTTATTATAGTCATTCTCTGGATATCCCAACTCTGGAGGCACTATAATCCTGCACCGTTGCTAAATAGTTTGTTAATCTCGCACATATGTTAAAAGATAGATATGCACATGTGTTTGATTTTTATATAGAGTTCACTTTTTTGAACTTTGCAACAACTTGATTCGGATCAAATTGCATAGATCTTGTATAAGGATGTCATGGGCCATGCAATTTTATCTCAGTAACCATTATTGATGTTATTTAGAAAATGTCTCGGTTAAGCTATCCACACTGGAAAAACAAATCCAAGGTCAAGAAAAGAAAATGTAGCACCTTCTAATCCCACCCAAAGCCATGCCCTTGATAGCTTCCTCAAATGCTTGAATCACCTGACATCGAGGAACAATGAAGCAAGCTTAAATTTTAAAAGAAATAGGTCACTAACAAACAAAAACCTGTTGAGAAAAATTAGTACAACCAATGATAGCACCATGCAATTTAACAACAGCCAATAATTTTTACATATTGAAAACGAAAACGACAATTAGTTACTTCTCACAAAAAATACAATAGCTACAGTTCAACTATCATACCAACAAATAGGAACACAAATCATAGAAACAGTAGAGTCCATTTTTGAATCGTCACAATTTACTTTTTTTCAAAATGGACAACAAACGTCTCACCTCTTGAGATCCTAACCTGAATTTGAAGAAGTCCTTGTCATCACCCTGTGCAATAAAATATTAAGATTGAATCAAATGCATGGAACGTCCTTGAAATCAAAATCTGAGAAGCCAAAGTATTTGCCTACCTCGAAAGAACCACCCTTTGTCTTATTTCTGGCTTCAAATATGCGGCCATAGTACCCAATTGTATAGCCATCCCAATCAACCTAAAATAAAATGAACGCCATACAACTTGACATATTTTAGAAATAATTTCTTCCCAAATTGTTTGATTATCCAGAAATTGTACTACGGTCTTACCACAACTGTATCTCCAATTTTTGGCGAGGGACCTTCCCCCACTCTCAAATCCTGCAGCCTTGTCAAGTAAAGTTAAAACAAATAAGACTCATGAGAGCATGCACATAAAAGTTTAAATGAGAACTTTACTATAAACTTCATAATGGGTGACCTTATATTGAAGACCGGATTCTGTCTCTGTATAGTCCGGATATTTCATCTTAGTCTTGCCATAATCCTTCCCCCTAAGAGCTGGCACTGTACGTGTTCAAATATGTCAACTGTTAACACATCTAGCTGACTCAATCTTTATTCTCAACAAAAATTACATGCTGTTCTCATGTTTTAAATACCAAAAGAGAATGAGACAAGACGAGACCACCAAAAGATACTTCAAGGTACATAATATCAATAATACTACCAAGCTAAAGTACCTACATATTGCTGTCTTATGAAAAAGATGGTTAATTTTATAATTATTTCTAAAAGAGAAATGAAAGACAAATGGCCGTTTAAAAGAAAAAAAGCTACTACAAAAAGAATGTACAAAAAAGAGACGCCCCAATAATTACGAAAAAAAGGGTCCAGTTGGATTTTTTACAGCCATATGGTTGTATTATTCAAAGATAAATATTACCTTTAACAACATAAATTATTCAAAACTAAAAAATATGGAACTAACCACGTTCAAATTTTCAGAACATTAGTTAAACTAGAGAATGAATAAAAGATAAAATTAACTGACCAGTTACAAGTAAAAGGAAAAAGATATAGTAAAAAACATAACTTTGCATGTAAGAAAATATATCTGACAGAAATTTTCCTATACTCTCAACAAGTTCAAATACGTTCTTCAGTCCAATCCCGTGCCCGGTTTCTATAGGAAGATCTAACCTACAAAAATTTCCTCAACTCAGTCTCTTTTTTTTAAAGTGAAGGTTTGTTCTTACTAAATAATAGTATCATCAAATTTTTATTTGATGAGCTATCTAATTTTCAACACATTTAGTTCTATAGTACTGCACAAAGTTATAGCTAACATTAATAGTGTAGAGATTTTGTTCTCATACTATAGTTATTTGGGGCTTTGTCTAGTTGCCTTTCTTGTATAGCATAGTCAAGATAAATTTAATTAAAAAACACCCAAGTCAAAAGATCCAGAACTGTGTGGCTAGATTTGACCTTGCTGCTATTAGCTCCTCTTTACTTCTCCAATTAATTCTATAAATCACTAAATTTCTCCAAAAGAATGCAAATACTAAATATTCATCTTCTACCCCTAATTAAACCTACTAAATCGGCACCAATGATATCAAGGTTATTACCTATAGAAGAAAGAATACGTGTGCCAGCTATTTCTTTCAGGTACTTGAACATTCTATACATAACATCTGTAGAACCTTTTCTTGGATTAATATAAATTGAATAGCTATTCCTAAGGCAAAAGTAATATCAAGTTTGTATGGATCAATCAAATCAAAATAACCAACAAGTCTCTAATAGCTTTCATGTTTACAACTAATCTATTACCTCTGGTCACTATACTCAATATCGTGGGACCCACAGGAAACTCACCGGCCTATTTAACTTAGCAGGATTGGATCTTTATGTATAATGAAGTTGAGGGGTGCAGTCAAGACTAGGAGTAGCAGGGCAACTCACAAATTCATATCTGAAAAGGTAGAGAAGAAGTTGCAAATACCAACTACTAAGACCATTGATTAATGAGTGATCATAGGAACCAGACTTCTGGTTAAAGGAAGGGGTATGTGCCAAGGGGTGATGTTGGTGCATGCTGCAAGAACGTTACCTTTTTATCCCTACCATCAGACAACACAAACGTTATCTTATCCTAAGAGTACAGTGGTTGTCAACCATGGGATCAATGAGTGTGGATTGGGTAAAGTTTATCACAAAGTTACAAGATGTAAGGAGGAAGTGGTACTGAAAGGAGGTCCTGGAAACTGAAGGACAGGGTATTCTAATTGAGCTTAATGTGATGCAGACTCAAACCTAGTCCAGTCCCTGACATGTCAGCAACAGGAATGGGGGAGTACCAAATGAAATTTACCTGTCCAAGAATTTTCCCATGTTTCAGCCATTTCCTGGATTAGCACCAACCTGAGAAGGGAGCATGCAATTCTTGGAAACCAAGAAATACGAGACCTTATTGATATCCTCAGATCCAAAAAGAATGAGATAGGTTTGCCAGTAAGGGATATGCTTTCCATAGGTGTCAACAGACCAAGAACAATTTGTTGGGAAAGAAGAAAAATGGTAGCTGGCAATTCTGTGTAGAGTATTGGGCCCCTCAATCGGCTAACAAGTTCCCCATTCCTGGTGTAGAGGAGCAGCTGGATGAACTACATTGTGCTGAGGTTTTTTCTAAAATTGACCTTCAATTAGCTACCAGCAACTCTGAGCATAACCCCGAGGATGTCCATAAGATTGCTTCGCCAATTATCCAACAGTTGAAAACAAGATAATTTTGGGTGGAAGGAGCAAGTGAAAGTAGCCTTTTAGCAACTCAAAACATCTATGAAAACCGTACAAGTACTGGCTTATCCAAAATTTCAATTGCCTTCCAAAATAGGGACAAATACCTCAGGTCATGGATTAAGGGTCATAATAATGCAAGAAAAATGATCTATTGTCTATTACAATCATGTTCTACCTCAACAAGACTAGGTTAAAAAGAATTGATGGTGATTGCTTTGGAATTATAAAAATGGCAGCAGTAATTAGTGGGGGAAAAGTTATTTGTACGCACGGAGGCTCTGATGTTTCTCCTAGAACAGAAAGTAATTTCAGGAGATTATTAGAATTGGATAACCAAACTGTTGGACGACGATTCTGACATTTAATAAAAACCAGACTTAGAACATAAGGTAGCTAATGCCTCGTCCAGGAGGCAGGAGGTTTCAATTCAGTTGAAATAGACATTAAGTGGGCAAGATGAGGAGATATAAAAAAGAAAGAATCGGCTATTAAATGGAGAAATTACTCCACCGAGTTAAGGTTGGTAGATGGAACTCCAAGATTTCACAATCGAAATGTATCTTTCTCTAATTCTCCTACCTTCCCACTGCTTCAAGAATTTCACAGTTAGGAGGGATTGATGGCTGAACAAGGAAGTCTACTGGAAGAGAAAGAAAGCTTCAGCCTAAACCTTCATAGGCCAATGACAAATCTACCCTGCAAGACTTCTGCAGTCCCTTCCTTTTTGAAAAGTTTTAAGTAGACATTTCATTGGATTTCATTGATCGACTGTCCAAATCAAAGGGTTAGGACACTATCTCTGTGCTCGTGGACAGGTTTAGTAAGTACAATTACAACCAAATCATTCCATAGAATACCCTTTCATAGCCCCTAAGATTGCCATGGTATTCATTAAAGAGGTGGTAAGGTTGCACAACATTCCATGGAGCATTATTCCTAATCCTAATAGAGAAAAGATTCTTACCTCCTCGTTTTGGACTAAGCTATTCAACCCAAATAGAAATTAGCCACACAGAAGTACTGCACATCATCCCACCGAGTCTCTCCGAGACAGTGCCTAGATCGTGAATCATTTCTTCGGATAGAAGAAGATTTGGTGGGTCTCCGAGATCTTTTTGATGCCCCGGTGTATATTTGAGGATAAAAAAGGTGGTTAGAAATCCTAAAAGTGATCGCTAGACAGAAATGAAATTAGATCACAAGGCTGACTGTAAAAGGATAAATGTAATAGATATGTAGCAGCCTTCTGTGAGAGTCCAAATAGGGATAGTTTGGGAGTATTATTAGTATATTAGTGGGGTTATTATGGTAACTAGTTAGGGGTAAGATATGGATTTAAATAGAGGTAGTAGGGAGAGAAGAAGGGCATCTTGGAGAATAGTTTAAGGCGAGGAACTTAGTATAGTTCTCATAGTTCTAGGGAGAGAGCTAGCCTTCTCCAAAGGCTATCAGTATTATAAAGTCTGTTTGATGTCACAATATAATTATCTTGTTTCAAGCCCCCAAGCGGCAGCCCAGTATTATAAAGTCTGTTTGATGTCGCAATATAGTTATCTTGTTTCAAGCCCCCAAGCGACAGCCCAAGCAAAGGCTTGAGATCTCTTGGTCATACTGACTTAGAGGTCTCAAGTTCGAACTTTCTGGTGAGTTTAATACTAAAAAACCTTGAATGTCTCCCAGGTCCGGGCCTTGGGGCGGGCGTGGGTGCCCCTGGGTATAGAAGAGCAATAGCTCCCCTGCACACTTATCAAAAAAAGATATACATATATCATTATCTTGTTTCGTTTAGTGAATTTGGCATCCTTACACCTTCTCATTCACCAGCAGTCGTACTTTAGACAGTCATATCTAAAACTGGAGTTAACAACTGAAATGGGAATGATCATGCCGCGAATAATTTGAACTGAACTGAAATGGGAATGATCATGCCGCGAATAATTCTTCTCGAAGGCTAGAAAGAAATGAACGAGTGATAGAGTAGAGGAAATTACTATCAGCAAATTCAGATGCCACAGCTACGCCATCATCTGCTGCGACATTCAACAAGGCTCCAGCGAGTAGGCCAAAGGACGAGAGAACCACTGCCCTCCTGTCAAATGCTAGCTTGAAACATCCCTCAGTAATGTCTCCTGCATAAGAAACGTAAACAATTACCCAGAAGTAATAATTTGTTTAACTTTGAAATTTGACTCCAGAAAGATCACTGCGTTAAGAACATAGTACTTTCAGGAAAGATAAATTAAAATGAGAGCAAATCCGGAACCTCGCAGGGACGGGTACCAGCAAAATATAGAGTTAAAACAAGAAGAAACTGAAACGAACTCGATTACCGGAAGATGAAGAAGGGAGGGAATCCAGTGGATAGTGAAGTAAATGAGGTCCGCGCCAACTCTAAATCAAAATAGCAACAAAACGCTTTATCCAGAAAATGGAACCGAACTGTTAAGAGAGGGAAAATCACGAAAGCTATTGAGATTGTGAATCAAGTGGAGAAGATACCATATTCAGAGAATTGCGGAGGAGTAGAGCTGGGAATTTGAGTAGAGAACCAGTAGCTGAAATGGACGCCATGGTTGAACTGTAAAAGAGCTTTCCGCGGGAAGATAAGGGCCTCAACTTTGTACCACATTGCCCCCCGCCTTTCCTTTTATCTGTTATTTTAGGACTCTTTTAGACTCTTCTCCTATATTCCTAAAAAATAAATAAATTGTTAAAATACTATTTCTGATTCGGGTAGTTTCAACTCGAGTTTATTTTTATTTTTGTACTTTTAAAATATTTATTTAAAAAAATAACTATTTTGATCTCTTAATTTTATTTGATTTATGTTAAAGTTTCCGTGTTGAACTTTTGAAAATAGTGATTAAAATGGTCACTCTTGAAAGTATAGGAATTATTAGGTTGTTGTTGCCAATCTAAGTATAACTCAGTTGATTAAGTCATATATTTTCGACCAAAAGATCGTGAGTTCGAATCACCACTCCCACATGTTGCGTCTTAATCATCAATTGTCGGGTCATAATCATCAAATTTCACAAACATTTTAGTCGTAGTTTGATAATAGTTTTCTATGTGATTCTAAATTTTAAAAGTTGATACATTTGATCTTTTTAACTTTTAGAAAATAGTTTTAAAAGATCTTGGAGTCAAAGTTCTAACTAACAAAATGTTGCCAGTGACATTAATGACTTGTATATTTATTAATTTTATATTATTTTTAACTTAGGTGGCATTTTTTTATTTTTTTTCTTTATTTTTTCTCGCTCTCTTCCCTACTCCTTGTTCTTCTTCAGTACTCCTCCGTTCCAAATTAATCTTCTTCTCTAGTTCGTCGATAATGGTCGATTTTCTGTTGATGGCTTGCTCTCCGATTTCTCCCACTGTGCAATACAAGTCTTAAATGAAGGTTTACAGATTTCAGGTCTTCCTCTACGACTTGTGTCACTAACAGAAGTTTGACTTCATGAACCTTTTAGAATTATTTTCTAAAGATTAGAGACCAAATCAAAACTAATTCTCCAACTCAAAGATTAAAAAGTATATTTTATCCAATACTAAAAAAAACATAAAATTTAATGAGATCTTATTGATGAGTTACTCTTGTCTCTTTCTATTTTTCCTTAATTGGTTTTATGATACTTTTTTGAGGGGGTACTTTTACTTTTCCTTTGTTCTTTTTATGATGCTTTCTAGGTTAGTTTATTAATTGATTTACTTCTTCACATTCAACTCATTCTAATTTGTCAACATGGATATAGTTCAACGGATAAGACATTTTGTTCCTTGACTAAAGGTTGGAGTTCAATCTACTATTCCCAGATATGTTCTACTAAACAAAATTCATTCACCTCCAAGAGAATCAAACAATTGATGAATATCTTTTCATTTTCCAATATTCTTCTTTTATTTGTTTGAATGACCATTTTGTTAAATAATAACTCTTCCTACTACCCATATGAAATTGAAGTTAAAATAAATAATTAAATTGATGTAAAATTATTTTTTTAAAATTGATTCTCTAAAAAGTGATGGTCCAATAATAACCTTACGATCATTTTATAATAATTTGACTTTTATATGAAAGAGCAATCAAACAAACTTGTGATCAAAATAACTTTTAGAAAAAATATAACTAAACACCTAAAGGGGATGTTTGGTTCCCCATTTTCAAAACGGCGGGTAGGGTTTGTTACAAACCCTCGTTTGTTTCACAGTTTTATAAACTCAGGTTTGCTATCGTAAATGTTATTTCACCCCTCAGGTTTCTTACAGTAAATTCTAGTTGCAACAGTAAGCACTATTCCACTCCCCAAGTTGCTACAGTACTTTATCTTTACTCTCCAAGTTGGTACCGTGTATATTTTGTCTTTATTCTCTCCCCTAAAATGCATTTATTTTGTTAATAATTATATTAAATAATTGAGGAAATTAATTAATTATAATTATAATTATAATTAAGTAAATCAATTTAATTAAAACTACATGTAATAAATAATTAATTCATATATTAACACTTTTTTATCTAGGTTTTTTTTTTCCAAATGATCCGAGAAAATCTAATTTTTTTTTTGTTCTTGCTATCTATTTCTAACTATTTTTATTTTTTTTCATTTTATATAGTTGTTGATTTTGTTTCTACTATTTTTTATTTACCTTTTGTTATCACTATCACATTTGTAAAAATTTTATGGTAAGGTCGACAATTTTTTAGATAATATTAAATCTTTATTTATTTAAGTATCAGAATTTGTTTGTTATGAAGAAGTTTAATAAGCTTGTGATATATTTATTTAATATTTCTATTATTTTAGTTTTGAAATTTATTTTGCAAATATAACCAAATAAAAAAATCTTATTTTTAAAATTTGAAATTTTTGCAAATATATCATTTTAGTTTTAAAATTTATAATTTATTAAGATAATATGATGAATAAGAAAGAAGGCTAACATTTACACTACTTTGAAATGTACTTTATTTGTTTACTCGTTGTTGATGAGTGAACCAGAAACTTACCTTGAAGAAGGTCTATAAAATGTAAGTATTCTTGTGTATTTGGTGAAAATGTAAAAGTTGTTTGCATAATCAATGAAAGACATTATAATTTTATATAATTATTTATTTTAATTTTATATCTTTTTTAACTTTGAAGTTAATAGTTTTTAAACAGTTATTATTTAAAAGATTTTTACTTTGTAATAAAACGTAATTGTCAAATAAAAATAAGTGAAATTTAATAGTAATGTTGATGATAATGAAGTAATAACTTCTTTTAGAATAATTAAGTAATCAAATTTACTTAAGATAGTAAATGGTGAAAAATTAAATAAATGGTTGATAACATTTTCTCTATGGTAAAATTTATTTTTAAAAGTATTTTAATAGATAATTTAATATTTATTTTAAAAATTAATCATTAGAAAAAAAATTGATGTACAAATATATTAAAAATATTTTATATATTCTTAAAATAGTATTTCATAATTTAATTTCATTAGAAAATTTACTTTTGTAAAATATATTTAAAATGTAATTTAAATTATTTTAATTAAATAATTAGTTTATACATTTTTTTAAAAAAAATTAAAACTCAACCTAACCGGACACAAGTTTAATAAAGTCAGTTTAACAAAATATAAAACACAGACTTAATAAACCTATTTCCTGCACCAACTAAACACGGGCTTAACAAACTAGATCAAAACAGTGAACCAAATACTTTTTTAAATGTTTAAATTAGAAGGTATGTGAAATTCACCCAACATAGTGTATGTTGGGATAAACGCTTAAATTTATGGACTAATTATCCCCTCTTGTGAACCTAATAGGAAATAGCAAGTAAAAAAATAATTCAAACAAGCATAAGACACAAGCAATTTTAACGTGGAAAAACCCCCTCAATGTGAGGAGTAAAAAACCATGGACCGAAGTCAAAATCTCCACTATAATCAATAATTGGTACACCAAGTTCTCCCTAGCAACAACTAGAGGCATACAATAATAACATCTCGAGACAATAAATCTCGGCAAACAAAAGGAATAAACAGGGGAAGAAAATTAGAAAGATATCACTTAGAAAGTGGCACCAACTACCCACTTGACTATAGGCAGCTCCAAAATAAATTTCCACCGTCCAGATTGAAGACCCTAGTATTGTGAACATGCTGTCAAAATTTCACCTCGATCGGACCACGGATCGACCTCCGATCGTGCAATATACCGTTATGTATGAAAGCTTTTCTTTTCTCTTTTTCTTTTCTGTTTTCTCCCATCCAACTGCGTGCAGAAAACTTTTCCCTCTCTCTCCTCACAATATGGTTTTCAGCTGCACCCCCTAAAACATGAATGGCTCATGTGGGCCTTAAAGTTGGGCTTTTCACACAATGTGAAAAATACCCAACAAATCTCCCCATTTTCACTGTGTGAAAGAAATTACCATCCCTGCAACGGAACGACAAAACTCAAGCTTTTCTCTTGGTAGATTCTTTGTCAACATATCGGATCCATTACGATCAGTATGTATCTTCAAGTTCAAACAATCCATCATTGAGAGTATCTTTCATCTAGTGATACCTCACATCAATATGTTTCGCTCTCGAATGAAATGTTGAATTCTTACCAAGATGAATAACACTTTGATTATCGCAGAATATCACATACTGTTATTGATTGAAGCCGAGCTCCTGTATAAACCGCTTCATCCACAACATCTCCTTGCATGCCTCTGCTGCTGCAATATATTCTGTCTCAGTCGTGGAAAGTGCAACACACTTTTGTAGTCTTGACTGCCATGACACTGCACCACCTACAAATGTCATCAAATATCCGGAAGTAGACTTTCGGTTATCTAAATCTCCTGCCATATATGAATCAGTATAACCGACAAGCACTAGCTTTCCACTTCCAAAAGTGAGCTTCAAACTGGTACCCCCACAAATATCTCATAATCCATTTTACTGCCTCTCAATGTTGTTTTCCCGGATTGGACATAAACCGACTAACAACCCCAACAACATAGGCAATATCTAGTCTAGTACACACCATAGCGTACATCAAACTCCCAACTGCTGAAGTATACGGAACTTTGCTCATCTCTTCCTTCTTTTTATCTGTAGAAGGACTCTGCTTGCTACTCGGTTTAACATGATTGGATAGAGGAGAACTTACTGCTTTAGTCTTACTCATGTTGAATCTTTCAAGTAGTTTCTCTATGTAACGCTCCTGAGACATATACAATTTCTTGGATGCTCTATCTCGTGCTAGACGGATTCCAAGAATCTTCTTCGTTGGCCCCAAATCCTTCATGGTAAAGGATTTGCTCAACTATTTCTTCAACATGTCAATTCTTAAAATATTCCTGTCAAAAATCAAAATGTCATCAACATAAAGCAACAGTATAATAAAGTCATTATCATAAAACTTCTGCACAAATATGCAATGATCAAAAGTAGTCTTCTTGAAGCCTTGCTTCCTCATAACTGACTCAAACTTCTTGTCGTACCACTGCCTTGGTGCCTGTTTCAACCCATAAAGACTTTTATTCAACCTGCATACAAGATCCTCTTTGTCTTTCTCCTCAAATCTCTCTGGTTGTTCCATATAAATCTCTTTATCTAAATCACCATGCAAAAATG